AATCCAACCCACTTACATGTTTACCTTTTTTTTTAAGAAAAATAAAAATAAAAAGATAAGCCCTGATTCCCAATTTATGATGTTGCTGGCAAGTGTTAGCACTCATTAGTTATACTTAACATTTAGCATTTTTTTCCGTACTCAAGGAGTCAAGTTTCATAATGCATAAAAAAGTAACAAAATTCTTAAACTTTCTGTTGATCCATCTCTATTAACCTAATTTTATTTGTTAGTCAATAATTTTTGCAATATAAAGTTACTTAATTATTTTAGTTCTTGTACTCTTAGTGGACCCAAAACTCAGATTTTTTGTAAAAAGAAATTCAATTTGAACTAAAAGTCCAAACCGACTAACCGAACCTTGGTTTGATTTAGTTTGGTTTAAGAGTTAGAGTAAGTTAGTTGGGATTAAAATTCATCCAAACCGACTAATTTAGTTTTGGTTTTGGATTGGAATTGAAATCGACTTAACTAAACCACGCCCAAGCCTACAAATAAACATTTTGGACACATAAACTCACTGTCTCTCTTCTCTCTAATCTTTATCTTTGTAAAGCCTTGAAAATTTTCTTTACAAATCTTATAAATGGGAGAATGGTTCAAGAAATGGAGATCCAATATTTCTCCATGAATGGTAAACTCTATCCAGCACCCATTTCATGGGCTCTACTGGAGAAAAGAACGATAGAGTTTGAGATATGCTCAATTCCATTTTCATGGTTTTTTATTGATTCTTGGTTAACCATGTTTGCCATTTGTTTGTGTATGAATTTTGTTTGTGAGCTTGTCTGATGGAGGCTTAGGTTGATTTCATTCTCTCTCTCTTTTTTTCCCTTTTTTGTTTTGACTTTGATTAGTGCTATATGGTAGAGAATTTGGATTTGTGTTTTTCTAAAAATATATCATGGATTTATTTTAATGTTTTAGATCACTAAAAGACCGTGCATAAAAATCATACATTTGTACAAGAGCAACCAAGAATGAGTATTGCAGAAGTAGGAAAAAGAAAGGCAACTGAAACAAAAATTTAGCTACTTATAATAATAGAAGAAAAACAAAATATTTGCATTGAGTACATCACCAGGTTTTGAATTGAGATATAGAGAAGTGGATGAATCTTGTACCAAGTTCGCTTTCTCATTCCAAATCTTGATTTCTTATTTTTCTCATTTGATTTTGCTCTCTAATCTCCAAATTGTGTTCTATGTCTCTTCAAAAGTGCCTCAATTCTTGCATTTATATTACTCTTAACGTTTTTCCCAAATTTGAAGCTTTTGTGCGCTGTAAATATGTGAAAACCTTAAACACTAAATGCATCAAGCAGTGCCTAGATGCCATGTAGTGGCCGCGCGAAGACGTTGTATGTGGTGCCTCGGTGCTATGCGCACCACCTCTCTGGAAAAATTCAGCACTACACTTTCTTTAGTATTTTTATCATAATTTCTATCTCGTTATTCGGTTGAGGCTGTAAAAATAACTTAAAGGGCTATAATTTTACTTAAAATAACCCTCTTCCAATTTAGATGTTTACTAGACCAAAAATAGGCTCAATCTCTAGCTAAAAATCTCGAACATTCTTATGTGCTTGAAAATTAATTTGTGAAAATATTTTGGTCATATTTCACTCTTTTTTCTAATTGCAACCAATTGACCCATAATTCCTATATATTCACCATGTGGTCCGACACAACTTGTGAATATTTACACTATAGTCCCCAAACTTTGGATCTTGCATTTTTTTACCAATTTTCGCTTCTTTCTTTCAATTTCAATTCTATTCATTGAGTTTCACATAATAAACGAAATATACAATAAATTAGGCTATAATTCTTCAAAAAGAATTATTAAATGTCTATATTTTTTTGTCCAAATAAGTGTATAAAATACACTTATCATCTTCATGCATTGAATTGATTCACTTTAAGCTAGGTTTCTAGTAGGTCGGATCCTCATAGAGCTATACATATTGCAGTTTTTTAATCCGTGAGAAGGGTAGAAAATCTTATCGATCCTTACAAGAGCTCGAAAACTTCTTAGTGTTTGGTATTGCAATTGGTTCATGTCGTTGCGTCAAGTCAAAAATGACTGGGGAACAAAAGCAAGAAGCATTTCTGGCTAAAGCAAAAGAGAAACTGCAAAAGCGACAAAACACAAATAAAACTACTATACCCCCCAGAGACGACGACAATGCTGCAAAAAGTTTGTGTCAGATAATTTGCCTATCAACATGCACGAAATAATTTATTTATTTTTTTGTATGAAAAATTAATTTGGGCTCCATTTTATTCCAAAATGCATTTTTCTCTTTCTTCTTTTCAATCACATATTCTCCAATCGAATAATATTAGACGCAAATTAAAAACTTTTTCTTATTTTTTCACAACATATTCTCCAAAAATCATTATTCTAAAATACATTTTTCTAAAAAAAAATTATAAAATTAATGGAACCCAAACAAGGACTAAATATGGCAAGGTTAATACAAGTTAGAGGAATTTGATTTTTAAAAATTAATTACAAATACTCTTATCGAATTATCGAGATTCATGAAAATATAAATTGAAATATTTATAAAAAATTTTGAATTAGTTATTTTTTAATATAAATAATTGATTTTGAAAAAAAAATACATGTATGATCTGATTTATGAGCAGTACATTTTAAGCCCTCGTTTGATTCTCATTCTTTGAAAAAAATAAATTCTTAAATAGTATTTTGACATTATTTCAACTACACATTCTTCAATAAAATTATATTATATGCAAATTCAAAACTTTTCCTTATTTTTTGACCACACATTTCACATCAATATACTATTCAAAAATTCATTCTTATCAAAAGAATGGAGCTTAAACAAGGGCTTATTAAAATTAGGGTTCTCGATCTTCATTCATTATAGCATTTATGTCTCTAACGATTTTTCATGAAATTCTTATCATCAAACTTTTCATTAATTAACACATTTTATATTTGATAATAGTTTATATCCAAAAAGTCCATTGAAATAACATATACAACTTATTTTCACATTATATTTTAAAACATAAATAAGTAAAAGTATGAAATTTTTTTCTCTCATTTCAAAACATGGAGACAAAATATTTTGATATAAATTATCATCAAGAACGAGATATATCAATTAATGGAAGATTGAACATCAGAATTTGACGAAAAATTGAGGAAATAATTGTTAAAACGAGCAAAGAGTAAGGAATTTAACAACAATTAGAATGTTATATAATAAATTTTGTTCTAATTTCTCTTGTTACTTTATATATATAATGTGTGACGTTGCACATTCACTCTTAAACAAAAAGAATATCTTTTTCCACCCAATAAAATGAAAAATAAAATAAAAATGGTTTATCAGCAACAAATGTCCCTATATATGGAGTTCAATGTGCAAAACATCCCAACGTTGTATTTCTTGTATTTTTACCCGTATTTCAACATTTCTTCGTAAAAATCATTTTCATCCAATTTTTCATAAAAAAGTTATGAAATGACAAGTATATCTTCCTATTTAAATAAAACAAAAGGCTTACAGTCCCAAGCTTTATATTTTTTACAAATTACGCCCAAATTGTTTATACATGCCATTCACGATCCCAAATCTTTTAAACTTTATTTTGTTCCACTCTCCCACCCACCCCATTCCACCCCACTTTATCTTCTTCCTCATCCCAACCTAAGGGAGATGTATTCAATTGAGACATTCAAATACTTCTTGAGATTTAAAAAGTTTCAATACATTCGATTGAGACTTTTAAAGATTCTATAAAAGTTTGGGTATATTCAATAGAAACTTTTATAGACTTTTAAAAAGTCTCTACAAGTTATGAGATATTTAATTGAAACTTTTTAAAAGTCTCCACAAGTTTTGGGGTATTCAATTGAGAGTGACTTTCGGGGAATTTATAATTTCTTGGACTTTCAGAGACTTTTTGGTAGAAAATATAAAAGGGAATTCTCAAAAAAAATCTCTCATCCATCGAGAGATTTCTCAAAATAGCCGGCCTTTTATTTTTTCCTCTAGGTTTTCTCCTCCATCTCTTCCAATCAGGTAAATTTTTTTTGAATATTTTCTATGAGTTTTTTGTTTGATTTATGGATAAACCCCCTAAATATATAAGTTTTCAGTTTACTATGAATTTATGGATAAACCCTGTAAATCTTTACCGCGAGTTTTTTGTTTGCTGTGAGTTTTCTTCTAATCAGGTAAATTTATGGTAAATTTTCTTTGAATCTTTCGAGCAGTTTTCTGTTTGATTTATAATGGTTTGTGTTTTTCTTTATTAACAAGGTACATTTTTATCTCTCCCTCTATTTCTAAAAGTAACTCATCAAACAATGTTAAAAAAATTAACGGAGGGTTTTATGTAATTTTTGTATGGCTGTTGTGCAGCGACTAATAACAAGTTATTCAAAGCAAGGTGAACCTTCAATTTAGCAACGATGGAAAATACTCATTATTGGAAAAAACTATGAGTTTTAACTTGTGTCATTTAGGAAGGAAACCTACATTAACTAAGTACTTATTAAGTATTACACTTGGCAAGCACTTATTATTAATATTATATTTTGATTGTCTCAAATTAGGAGGCATATTATACGATGCATTCTCTATAATGAATTTACAATAGATATTTTATGAATTTTCGGAATTTATTTTTGAATCTGACTTGGTTACTTGGGTTATTCTAGTGTTGAGTTTTACGAGCTGGTTGTTTATGTGAAATCAAACAAGTAAAAAATTTGCAGAATATACGTAGCATAGTTTGCACAATCTTTTCAATTAATTACTATGAAATGCTTGGTTTCATCCTGCTATTCTATTTTGAATTCTTAAGCAGAATCAATTAATGACCATCGGTGATGCATAGTTTTAAGGTGGAATGAGTTCGCTAAACTTAAGTTTATGTATATCATTTTGTATTTTCCTAATTATTTGTTCTCTAATTATATGACAATAGTATTCATAGAAGATTGAACACAAGGAAATGACAAGGTTCAGGGGAGATTGTGGATTTCCAAATCTACATAAGTTTTTAACGCATTTTCGAGGTGTCCGTTATCATCTTCAAGATTTTATTGGTCAAGTTCGTGACCCTGAAAATACAAAAGAGTCGTTTAATCTTCGTCATACTTCCTTAAGGAACGTAATTGAGAGGATATTTAGTATATTTAAATCAAGATTCACAATTTTCAAAACAGCTCATCCATTTCCATATCGTACACAAGCGGAACTCGTATTAGCTTGTATAGGATTTCACAATTTTCTTCGTAAAGAGTATCGTTTCAATGAATTTCCAATTGAACTAGGTAATGAAAATTCTTTATCTTCTTCGATCAATGATGTGGAAGACTTTATTTTTGAGAGTCAAGAACAAGAAAGAGAGAATGCTAAGGCATGGAGGGCTTCTATAGCAACTGATCTATGGAATGATGTTGAGAATGTTTGATTTTTTTTTTTGTTCATCATTACTAAAATACTTTTTTTTATATATATTTGATTATTCGTTAATCTACTTGATGTACCTTGATTTTTTTTTTTTTTGGGAAAAAAAATTGACATCAAAACTAAGATTTATTGCTTTGCATTTTCAATTATACGAGTTTTGGATGATTTGGATATATAAGAAGTTGTTTCATATATTACATTATACTAGTGTCGAATCGTGCATTACACGATGTTGTTATAATTTTGTAAGAGATTTTGTTGT